TACCGTCTCCTAAACACCTCTCACCACCCCCCTCCCAACCTCCCAACCCGCAGCGCCACGGCCTACTTCCTTCGCCGACAAGCCATCCGGGAAACGTACGGCGCCCGGAAACTCTTCGGCCACGTGACGCAGCGCGTGGTGTTCCTTCTGGGCACCACGTCAGACGTGGAGACCAGCAGACGTATCCGGCTGGAGGCTCTGGAGCACGGTGACGTGGTGCAAGGACCGTTCGTAGACTCCTACCACAACCTCACCCACAAAGGCGTCATGGGCCTCCGCTGGGCGGCCGAGCACTGCTCTCAAGCGAATGTCGTCATCAAAATTGACGATGACGTGTACGTGAACACCTTCCGGTTCATCGAGCGCGTACTTCCGGATTTATCCAAAAAGACCAATCACATCGCGTGCCATCTCCGGCCAAGTGGAACTAGCCCGATCACGAGAGGAGAGGGGAAATGGCAGGTGAGCGACCTGGAGTTCAAAGACCTGAAGCATTACCCCTTTGATTATTGCAATGGTTACTTTGTGATACTCTCCGGAGACCTCATTCGACCGATGCTGAACGCTGCCCGGGTCAACCCGTTCTTCTGGATCGACGACGTGTATTTGTTCGGTTTGCTTCCCGCCACAGTCGGAGATACAAAGTTTCAGGATCTTAAGCCCAATTTGACGTTGCGGTTTGACACGGGCAAAACTTGTTTCCAAAACAAAGGGATCGAATGTCACCTGCTTGCGGTGAGTCAGTGGAAGGAGAAAGAGGCGGACTCGTTCTGGTACACCATGCTCTCGAAGCTCTCCGGGGAGAGGAAGACAGATTTCCACTTGTTTGAAAAGTCGTGAACGCGTGTTTCGGTTTGGTGGAGACGTTGGAAGGAAGAAGAAATGATGTGTTTGAGAATGGTGTTTCGAGTGATGATGTACTGGTTTGAAATGTTCTCGAAGAATAGAGCAATGTCGCTTGTTTTAGACATTGCGAACGGATGATAGTGCAGTCAGAAATTCGTTACGCAACTTATTTGTCAAATATTTTCTAAACTATCGCATATAAACTTTCCAGATTTTGCTCAATGACGTGTATCAATTTGTCACAATAGATCAACATTTCTGTATGTGTGTGGGAAATGGGAAGTGCTTTGAACAATCCCAATTTTAGCTTGTTGGAGATGTGTATTACCTGTATTACCTGTCCTGGGCAACAATGTCAGTGCACACCGGACAGGTCCATGAGTGCTCAGTTCCCCCCAGCCCCAAAGCCCGCAAGGTATCCATACTGATTGTT